TTTCTCCTGAGGAGCTACTTATGGGATGCTGGTCCATAACGGAGCACCAATACCCGCAACGCGGGAATTGTATTTAAGCGAATATGAATCGGCCGCGGTGCTGCATGGATATATGAGTACATACGTGCAGCCGTACCTACCGTAGCGGTTATTGGCAAGATGCCTACGGGAAACTCGTCCAAAATTGCTTTTTGAGTCATTAAGAGCGAAGGCTTTTCTTCGCAGGTTTTTGACCGTTTCACTTCGTTTTTTCGCCATTTCCCCACTATATAGCGTCCTGCTAGCATTCAGGCGAGTACCGAATTATCGTGCCAATTGCCTTTAAGTGAGTCTCCTTGGTGGTGCTATGGCTGCAGTGTGCTTGCAGCAGTCACTTGACGATGAGGCAATTGACGACATGGAAGGTTAATCGCTGCAGCCAGCGTCGATTTCTAGAATGATGAGAGGGAAGTGTAGGAACCAGATATTCTAGAGGTTGTGAGCCCACAGTTCATAATTTCCGAACTGCAGTTATTTTGAGCAGATGCAGGCAGACTGCGGGGCGGTTCGGAAACTCGCACAAAACATGGAAACAGGGAAACGATAGGAGTACATTCTGTTCTTTGAAAAACTCACAAAGACGCAAGATAAGTAGAGAATCAAGTTCCCGACTCGTTCTGAGGGATCCTCGGCTCGCTGCCGGCAAATATCGGTGAGGCAACCGATAAGGAGATTCCGCTGTCTACCACAGACTCGGCGACCGTTTTCATTGAATTTATAATGACCTGAAATGGACGCATGAAATTTGAGAGGAAGTCCTCTCAAATTGTTTAGCTTAATACTCACTAATATGCCAACATGTGAGGGCTTTCAAAATACAAAACTCATCGAATTGTATGTCTAGCTCATGAAAAGGGATTACTAAAGTGGACCAAAGGGCAGCTTTCCATGGGATGATCGACCTGAACGTTTGGAAGTTAATTTTACAAAAATTCGCGATCATCAACAAGGAAACTCACTTATACTTGATCTGATCCTCTTTGCTGCTGAAAAGGTGTTGAGCCCATGGTTCATCACCAGACATTGGCATCGGATCAATGCAGATGTACTCACAGGAACTGAGCACGATCCTTTTGTCTTCGAAACCAAGACGAGTTGTGAGGTAGGCAGTATTCATTAACGAGTCAACACCGCACACATAGCGATAGAGAACATTCTGGATATACCAATGATGCGATTTGTTGAAGATCAGGCACGATTCGGCTCACCTTTTGAGAAGGTTCCAATTCGTTGAAATCCATGAAACTAATTGTATAGTCGTATAGCATAATGAAATCGGCTCGACTCAACCCAATGTACTCCCTGTAGTTTAGCGGCTTCAGGTGGCGCTTCTCAAACGGCTAAACTGGAAGACACTTGAATGAAGAGAACCAAAGGAGAAATCGGAGCATCCTAAAACTTCTGTACTTGTGCTGGGGATTATTTTCATTCCTGAACTGTTTTATTGAGGTCGAAAAGTCGGTCAACTATCAATACCGACAACATGGTGCCAGTTTGCAAGAAACTTGTGAATCTAATAGAAGCCTAGACCTACAGTAGAAGAATTGTTCCCGAAGTCAGCGTTATCTTCAAAAGAGTCTTTAGACATAGCATACTATGAAGTGAAACAGATGATGATCAAAGAAGCAACGTCCGGCGAGATGTGGGATGGGAGAGGAGCGCAACCCAGGTTGAAAGGCTTCATGTGGGTCAAGAATGCGACAAGCGATTACCACAATCACAGCAGAACAGTATGCTCTCTTTTGAACTGAAATCGTCAAGCCAACCATTCCTTCTGCAGAAATTGCGTCAAGGACGAAAACCGCATCTGGAGGAAGTGAAGCAATTGAACAGAGCGAAACAAAAAAGACAGATTAGGGTGAAAATACAAAAAGGTGCAAGAATGGTTTTTAAGTGAAGGGTTTCGCAAAATGGATATTTTATCGAAAACAGGAGCAACTCCTCCATCACAACTTTTACGGCCATGAGAGGAAGCTGTCTATCCGTCTCCCTAGTTGATTGATAAATCTAACAGTATTTGCATCAGCGTGAAGCAGATCCTTGGTCTTGTATTTACTGTATAAGTTCTTGCGGTTGTTGCCTGATGACGGAAGCAGTTTTTAAAAAAATACGATCCCTGCAATTCCGTCCCTCGATATGACCCGCTTTCAGAACCTACATACACTCGAAATCCCTGAGATGTGCTAGGCGTGGCTGCCTTCAACAAAATGTCGCGGTGGCTGTGATATTGGTGGGATACTTTCATTTCTACTCGATCATGGTCACGGTCTCAAATTGAAGTATCTCACGCGTAAACCTCTCTCTGCTAAGTTAAAATGCCACGCCTACTCCATCTCAGGGACAAGGGGTATGGATGCTAGCTAGGGCTATGTATGGCGCTTGTAAAACTAAAGATCAGTAATCACAAATCTTTTCTTAATGCCGGAAGTGACCCTTCAGCAGCCAGAATCACTTCCCACTTTGTTTCTCGCAACGCTGGCGTGGGTTGGTGGAAGCGCTCACTCAGCTCCCACCCAACCCACAGCAGCGTTGTGAGCAAACAGCTACGGTTCATGGTGTTTTTCGTTACTCGGACCTTTGATCCCTGGGATTTCAAACATGTCAGTCCGACAACAGGTTCTGAAAACACAATGTCGAGTGGGGTATCTGAAGTAAATGCTCAGGGCATTATTCACCCCGTTACGTAAAACAAGCAGCACACTTACCACCGTGGGTCCTGGTCATTACCGTTTGCGAGGTGAATAGGTCTTTAGCTGCATTGGCAGGTCACTTTCTGCTCAAAAGTGGTTAAGAACGGAGCTGGACGCTATTGATACGTGAGCGTCGTTCCATCGTCGCCCGCGCTGTCTCACTTGAGGCGATACCGAAATAGTGCAACTACATGCACTCAGAGGTAGAGAACAACCTGGAGTGAGTGAAGGCGGACAGGGGGTTGCTCATTTGGCAACAGTAAGGCGTGCGGCTGGCTATGCGGTAGCGCCGTGAAAGCTCCTTGGAGACGGTTCCCGAATGTCACTACCCATCAGCCCCAATTCTGGACATTTCTGAGCGGTCCACGATCCGTTTTCACTCAGAATCAAGCGCTGTTCTGCTTATCGCTCGGGGAAGGGCATTTTGCATTTTCGCTGACTTCTTTTGCTGATTTCTATTAAAGGCAGTTGGCACGATGATTGGGTGCTCGGCCTAAAATGCTAGTAGTAGGCGCTATATAGTGGGGAAATGGCGAAAGAACGGAGTGAACATGGTTCAATAATCCTCGCGAAAAGAAAGGCTCCGTGTCTCAACTGTGTTAATGTAATTGCAATTTTGGACCATTACCGAAGGCCATCTTACCAATAAGCCTACCTGGAAGGTACGCGCCTGCAATATGTGGACCCATATATTTCCATCAAGAACACAAACCGATCATACCATGCCTTGCTTCAATAATTTGCTTAGCAAATGAATCATTGAAGCGTCCTGGAACAGCGTTCGCATTTGTGGGCGGGGCGGGCATAGGCGGGGGGTTTGGTGGGTACGTGAGTTGTGGCTTGATAGCCAGGGGCACCTTCCCTGGAAAAGGACATTAAGCAGCGCCTGCCTCAGTGTTCGCGGGGAATTCTTCCCCGTGCCAGCGACTTTAGTACCTCTCGTCATGGAGGATCTTGATCCGGGGCCAACTGCCTTTAAATTACCTACCTGTCTCTCTAGGACTGCAGACTCTTCTGTCCACCGCCTGTATTCTAAGCTCATGATGTTGCAGGAATTTATAGGTCCCCTGAGGAGGCATCGGCAGTGATTGATGGGAAGCAGCAAAACGCCTCCACCGAGCCGAACTGCGCCCAGAATCGTAACAGCACTTGAAATCTGTATGGCTTATACAACGAGTTGCGGGAAACAACCGAGGCACATGAGTACAATTAAGAGGCTTCAGTTGGGTATAACCTAGATTGGCATGGGCGGATTAAGCATGTGTGCGGCGACGAATTTCATCTTCTAGAATGGAAAAAAAAGAAAAACTCACGCATTTACACATTGTTGTGAAGACTTCCATCATCTTTGTATCCGTATACATAATCTTCCGTCTACTGTTTAATGCCGCTTCTATGTTTTGGTAATGCTCTATAGCCCATCGTCGTTCATCTTGCATAAAGTCAGCAACTAAAAATATAGAAGGTACCACTCAATTTAAACTCCTCAGGCCTACAATAAAGAAAAACATGTACTGCATCCATCCGACAAATTAAAGCTAGAACCTTTCTAATGTACATGGTAACCCGGTCTGTTCGCACAGGCTTTACCGCATTCAGAACGTCAGTACTGGCAAGGAGCGCACAAGGAGCTCAAGTCCTATGCCCATAGTACCTAGTAGGCCCTTGCTAGCCTGTAATGCCCATGTCGTCGTGATTGTCGTTGTGTTCTCTTGTCCATCTTTTTTGTGATCACCCTTCCGCGCTCAGCAGTGCATCGTTGCCTACCATGCATTGCAGTTAATCTTGATCAGTTGTGCTCGTCCAGTGATAACCAGCTGGAAGAAAGTAGGCCTTACTGAGGAGGATTTTTCATGCTCTTCTCTGGACTTCTAGACTAGTAAGTCAACTGGCTCCATTACCCTTCAGTTTTTGAACTCTATCTCACGACTTGAGCAAGAGGTGGTGTAGTGACAAGTGGCGCGCTCACCATACCCTTCAGTTTTGAACTCTATCTCACGACTTGATCAGGAGGAGGTGTAGTGACAGGTGGCGCGTTCACAACTCGTGCGGTCCTGAGTTCGAATACCGGGCCTTACCCAGGCAAAGCAAGCCTTCTATCCTCGGGTCGTAACCTTGTACCAGATTTTCTGGGAGGATAAGAACACTGACTTGTACATCGGCTGGCCCCCGCAAGTCATTGTATAGGCCACATCGCATTCAATAAGCCACTACGATTCTGAATGGAAGTAGAATGCGTGCCGCATCCCACAAAGGGATTGATCAACGGCGAAGACTTTATCCTTTTATCTTTTATCTCATGACTTACACTCGCAGAAAGCATCTCTGAGCCTTCGCTCAGCCACTGAACCAGATCATTTGAGCTATGCTAGGCCCCCTTCAGCGGTACCAAACTATAAAATATCAAAGCTGATGTGATAGTAGTGATGAAGGGTTAGTTGTAAGAGATGCTTCCGCAGCTCTCGGTCTAAACATTTTAAGACTCCCAATTCTTTCATTCTATCGGTGTAGCATGTTTGGTACGGAGCCTTTACTAACGGATAAAAACACTGGCTAGCTCTGCAGTTCATCCAGTTCATCCATGAACCCAAGCGCTACGGCTTCCAAACTGAGATTGAATGCAAAGCAAACTCAAGAGAGTCCCTTCACAAAAATCATTTCACCATCTATCAACTTTTGTTGTGACATCAAAATTGAGCGATTCATACCTGAAGGAATTCGTGGGATCTCCTTGTTTCGAAGGGACCGCTTTGATTCTGTCGATTTTGGTTCATCAACGCTTTGCTGTGGGTAGGCGTATATTGCATCTTCCACCACGGCTCGATCATCGTTCGATGTTGTGAACACATGTTTTGCACCACGAGTTGACCGCACCACTAGAAATAAGCGATACCATTAAGGCACAGATATCTTGTTCCTTACTATGCTCTTACTATACTCTTTCGGAAAACCAAAACCCGTTGCTCTAATGAGATATGCATTGCTGATGTCACTAGCTATATATCATCTTCATTTTTCAATTCAAATTCACCACT